GGTGCAGATTTCAGCTGAGCTTCTAGACTAACACAAACTGGGACGAAAAGCGTTGTGATCTACTTCCGAAAAGTAGCCAATGGGAGCCCATGAGGATCAACAGAATAGTCTCTGCTGTCATGCTGGAGGATGAGGCCCCTGGGTTGGAATACTCACCTCCACAATGCTCATGAAGATGGGGTAGGGCCAGACATGGTTTCGCTGTATAGTACATACCATAGGTTTTCCATGATTTGGAGCCTGACAATGGCAGCTAGCAACATCAGCAACAACCAATTTTCTTCTCTTGGACCTTTTGGTTGCCTACCTTCACCTACCATGCAGCAGTTTTCTGCATGCACCGCTTTGATAGGCCACTCCTCTGGTACCCTGATGCCCTTCAGAGCTAGCACAGCCATGTAACCAGAGCTATCATGGAACACATGCTCTCTTGTGGGCCTGTCTTCAGTCCAGCTTGGTAAAGACCTCCCATCCCTGCTTCTGCATGGCCGCTTCACTCTGCGCACATTTATCTAGCACATACTGCACTCAGTTCTGGGGATGTAGGTGTGATGGAGATGCAGCCTTGGCCTCATTTTATGATAGGGGAAGGAGGGATGATGCACACAAATGAATGCAGAGCAAAGCCGAGGTGCTAGGTGATGAAGAACATTATTAAATATTATGAAAGAACAGAGTAGATGCTTAGCAGTAAAATTTAGAAATTAAAAAAACTCTACCTATTAAGACTACTACTAAATCCAACAAATTGACCAATTAATATTGGATTCTGTTTTTTTTTTTAATCATGATATTGGGGGCTCTCACAACTCTTACAACATTCCATATATCAATTGTATCGAGCATATTTGTACATATGTTGCCATTTTTAAGCTTTTGAAGTTTCCCTTAAATATCTGGTTTGAAGACCAGCCTTCCAGTGAACATTTCCAAATGATTTATTCCTTCTCTGATTCACCATATCATATACAGAAACATTGTTTTCCCTTCAGTATTGTGAGTATTAAAGTTCCATTAACCGCTGCAACCAGTCCACTCTGATTGCACTTGTGAGTCTGCTTTGTTGTAGCACTTGAATTTTCTACCTGCTTTAAGGTTCCCAGGCCTGCTTGTGGGGCCCCTTTCTCTATGAGAGGTTTTGTCTCGGAAGATTCTTGAGCATAAAAACATCCCTCCTTGTGACATTCTCCTCTTGTTATAAGCGAGATGTAAATCTCCTCCCGTATCACAAGTGCATGGGATGGTGGCTTCTATCAGGGATGTTTTCAGTTGGTCCAGGCGGCCCACCAGCTTTCTTTGTGGAAGCAGGCTTTGGAAGATTGCCGCTACATTCCAAGAGGTGCCTTTCAAACAACTTTGCATCTGGGCATCTTTTACCTTTCTTTGTGTTTTGGCCCCTCCCTTCTCATTCCTTGTACACAGCCTTTTCTGGCTTTATTTCGACTCAGGTTCTTCTCCAGGAAGTAAACTCACTGCTATTCGGTCCACGCTGACTTATAACGGAACTCTAGGACAGGCTAGAACCGCCTGTGAGTTTCCAACTCTCCTGGAGTAGAAAGCCCCATCTTTCTCCTGTGGAGCGGCTGGGGGTTCCGAACTACTGACTTTATGGTTAGTAGCCCAACGTGTAACCATTATGCCATCAAGGCTCCTGGAAGTACACAAATGAGGAAATACACAAATAAAAATGAGAATCTGGCCGGGCCATTCCTGTGAATGGGGGGAGGTGAGCGTGATCCCCAGGGTGCCTCGGATGTGACACACCCTGCTGATGTGTACCACCCACGCATCTATTCACCACGTGTTTCCTGAGTGCCCCAAACACTGTGCCAGGTCCTGAGGACGCAAAGCTGGGGGTGTGGGGTGGGTATGGGGGACTGCATGAAGTCCAATTTTACATGAATAAACTTCTGATAATAAAATCAGTTCGGATGTAAAGAGGAAGAGTTAATATAGCTCCATGCTCTTGTGTGTGTGTGTGTGTGTGTGTGTGTGTGTTCTCTGTTAAATTGGGGTGAGGGGAAAGGAGGAAGAACATGGGTATGCTTCAATGTCTGGCAGGTACTTTTACTCATATTAAAAAAAAAATCATGGAATTTTCGATTCCCCCAGAGTAGGTGCTGCTCTATGTATTTTAAATATAAGCAGCGCAGCAGGACAATATTATATGCGCTGTCCTTGGGAAGGGGAATTTGGGGGCAGGGATATGTTATAGGCCCTCACTTGAAACCATCAGGATGGGCGGCTGCTAGCCTACCTGTCAGCGATGCCAGATTGGCCTTTTCTCTGCACAAATCAGGGCTGAATCTCAGCCACTCTCAGCCTTTGAACTGTGTCCTCCCAAACGCATGCTGGTTCCATGGAGGACAAACGTTGGCCACCAGCTCTTCCCAGAGGTCCCCAGGACGTCCGCTCAGACTTTCTGCATAGCCCTGGGAGCAGGCCTGAGCTCGGGGGAAGCCGCCAGGCGCGGAGGCCCGCCAGGCACAGAGGGCCTGTGCCGAGGTGGCCGCTTGGCGTCAGCGCGCCAGGCAGCTGGTGATGCTCAAACTTGGTTCCCCAGCTGCGGCCATCCGCTGCTGAGGAACTGAAAGAGAAGCCGCGCTATTTTTACCTCCCCGGCTGCAATCCTTTGGATTTATTTTCAGGAAGGAAATAAATAAAAGATGAAGAAGGACCTGCTTGGACTTACCCCCACCCCCTACCCCGCAGCAGGACGTCGTTGGAATGCTCCAAACCGAACGCGGTGGCGCTGACTTGATCACGACTCTTCGCGACCAATGGGACAGAGTAGCGCTGCCCCAAAGGTGCTCCAAGTCTGTAAATCATACGGCAGCAGGTGGCCTCATCGTTCTCCCGAGCAAGGGGCTCCAACAGCCGCCTCCTTGTTTGCCAGGAGCGCTGCAGCGCTGCGCCATCAGGGCTCCTAGGTGGTGGGCCCAGGAGCGGGTCTCTGGGTGGTGGGAAAGGCGGGTTTTCTCAGATCACTTCCCTGTCTGGCCTCGGGCCTGGAAGGCCTGGAAGCGCCTTTGGTCCTCTGGCCTCATCCCTGGCTTCCTGCTTCCCTCCCGCGGCCCCCACCTTTGGAGGTGCAGCCGTCACCTCGGATGCTGCCCGGGATGCTGCATCACCCTGCTGGTCCCCCACCCTCCGCCCCACCAGAAAGCATGCGCAGTGCGTCGTGTGCGAGTCGCAGCAGCAGCTGCAGCAGCACCAGCAGAAGCCCCAGCCGGGCTCCGGCGCGCTCTCGGGGGCGGGACGCGTGCCC